GTCTGGCGCTGATAACACATTCTTTCAACAGGAAGTGCCTCCATTTTCAGTTGTCTGTGGGAGGGTGGAGAACCGATAAGCTGTGAATGGAAACACAGAGCAGATTTCTGCCCCACCCTCATTGCACTTTGATCAGAGGGTGCAGGGACCCCCGCTTGGCCTGAGCTGCCTGCTGCAAGGAGGAAGGATGGTTCAGCTGTGGGCATTGCAGCGCTCTCTTCTCTACTGTCTCTCAGGAACGTTTGTTTAGGTTGCTTTAGGTTAGTGAGGGGCCTGCTTTTGCTATGTTGAGATGTCTGCGATCTGAGCTAAAGTCCTTTGAAGGATTTAATTAGATGTGGGAAACCATCAAAGAACTGAAATTCATAACACGGCATCTTTAAAAAGTTCATGAAAGGATTCGTATTGTCTTCTACTTTTATTTTTCCACAATCTTTTTGATGTACCCTCATATTTGTGTTTTTATGCGTGTTGTATGCACTGGGTCCAGGATCATTATACATTTTCTGTTCTTTTCCCCCCAAATATTCCTGATAGGTGGCTCTTGAATATCACCAGTGAGGGAAGAGGACTTAAGAGGAACAATGGTGTTATGAGCCAGGTTTCTTAAGGAGAGTTTTTGGGCCATTTCCAGACCCCTACCTTTAGAATACCAGTTCTGAGAGCTCAAGTTACTCTGATGCACAGATGTGTAGTGTGTTTGGTGTTTTAACTTCCATGGAAATGTATGTTTCACGTGTGCAAGGCTGGCCAGGCCCCAACCTATGCCAGGTGGTATGAGGATGATTTTGGGGTGCTGGGGGCCCCTTCTAGCCCTCACTCTGATTCCTCCCTATGTTTTTAAGCTACTTTATGACCCCGTCCAGGCTGGTTCATCCCTCAAGTGCTTGTGCCTTGTGTTTCTGGTGCTAATGTTTTCCGTCCTTCCCCAAAGTTAGGTTGTATTGTGCCATTCAATTAAGATATTCAAAGAAGAATATTCAAAGAGGTATAGATGGCTAATAGGCTTGGCCCTCTCTGTCTCCCACCCGCTCCTGGGTTCCCTCGTGATGCTTATGCATGGGCATGGATGAGTTGTCATGATGATGTAGAATTCACATCCTGCTGTCTCTCACTTAACATTGTATTACAGGATTTTTTTTTCCATTTTGCTGTGTGATCTTATTATTTTTAATAATTGCATAATATGGGCTGGCCCGGTGGTGCACTGCTACAGTGCGCCACTTGAGAGCGCGGCGGCGCTCCCGCCGAGGGTTTGGATCCCACATGCAGACTGGTTCCCGCTCACTGGCTGAGCGAGGTGCAGGTGCAGCACCGAGGGTTGCGATCCCGTTGCCGGTCATGAAAAAAAGACAAAAAAAATAATAATAATAATAATTGCATAATAGTTTATTCAGCAATGTACTCTCTTTTTCCAAACCATTTTCATGTTTTTAGATATTAGGTTGTTTCCATGGTTTCCACTATGATAAGTAACCCTGTGATGGATGGCTTCCTCTGTGGTGGCTTTCCCTTGTTTTGAATTATTTTCTTATAATACATTTCCGGAAGTGAAATTATAGGGCTATGTAGGGTATAAACTTCTAGGTGGCTCTTGACACTACTGCTGACTGCCTCTGTAAGACACAATACAGTCCTGTCGGCCACGGGTGAGGGGATTAGTGTTATCACATAATGTCAGCCTTCTGTAGCATTGCAAAAAATTTTTTCTTTGTATTATTTAAAATAAGGTCATTAAGCTTTGGACACAAATACTCGTCCCATTTTTTCCTGACACTCAACTGTTGTTTTTTTTTTTTCTTTTTTTTTCCTTTTTGTCTTTTTTCGTGACCGGCAATGGATCGCAACCCTCAGTGTCACGCCCGTACCGGACCAGGACCGGCAACGGGATCGCAACCCTCGGTGTCGCGTCTGCACCTTGCTCAGCCAGTGAGCGGCCAGTCTGTATGTGGGATCCGAACCCTCGTCAGGAGCGACGCCGCGCTCCCAAGCGGCGCACTGTAGCAGTGCGCCACCGGGCCGGCCCTCAACTGTTGTTTTTAATTATGAACGAGCTGATGTTTTTTCAGAAGTGCAGCTCTCATGTGATTTCCACTCCCCTTTGACAGTGGAACTCTTAGCCTACTGCATAGCCTACCATTTTGTCTGAAGAAGACAATAGTTACTTCAGATAGCTTTGGGATTATTGCTGGGGAATAAGAATAGCATTCACGGTGTTAAGATTTCTTTAATGTGGCTTATTTGAAAAAGGGCCAGTGAGCCTTTTGAATGACTGTGAAAGCACCTTGGTTTATTTCCATTTCATAGGTGAGGAAACCGAGGCACAGACAGTTCTATGTCCAGTCTTCTAGTTTACCTCTCACAGGAAGAGTCACACAAGAGTGTGACCCCTGTGCGTGTCCTTTTGTTTCAGCTGGCTTTTCTTCCTAACAGGCCAGATTCCTGCCTCCCCACGTCCTGCGTGCCTCCAATTTGAATATCCTTTTCTCACCAATAACAAGAACTTCCCTTTACGGAATGTTTAGCATGACAAAGCATCATGCTGACACGTTTACAAACATTATCTTATTTAATTGTCACAAGCACACCTGAGGTAGGTAATAGGAGGACCTGCATACAGAGGACGAGACTAGGGGTGACTGTACCCAGAAGGTGACAGAACCCAGATATGACTTTAGAGCCTGAGCTTAGTCCCACCATGCAGGCTGCCTTGGGCCCTTGCCCAGGATTCCTTTCCCCTCTGTGATTCCTCATCCAACTCTTGCTCCAGATCCCTGTCTCAGCCACTTGTGCATCATTTGCCATAGGCAGCCATACAGTCTTACTTTCTGGTGTGTGCATGTCCTGGCTCCCCATGGAGCCCGGGAGCTCCCTGAGCTCTAGTCCTAGTATCTGGCTCTTGGTGCTTTGCTAATCTTTCTTTTTGCTGACTGTGATGGTGGTGATGGTGACAGACTCCTCTACTATCTCAGCACTTCCTGCCATTTGAGGTGAGCTGCTTCCTGGGCTGATCCAGGAACCGTCTCCATTTCAGAAAATAGCACTTGCTGTGGTGAAGTCAGATTTAGTCAGGTACGTGCAGATGTATCTTTTTTGGAATAGGTAGATCAATGCAATGTTGGGTGTAATGTAACAGTAGCATAATTATGAGGGAGCTCACTCTTCTAATCTACGGTAGTTCCTTTCTAAAACAAACAACTTTTTGTAACTGAATGTCTCCTATTTGTTTATTTGTTTGGGAGTTAAATTTGGATTCACGTTGGATTTGCTAAAGTTAATCCCCATGTTTATAAGTGTAACCAAATCTATAGCATTCAGTTTGTTTGACAGGATTATTTCAGCTGTTTCAAAATTTTCTCAAGAATCCATTTTGAATTTTACACATCTCAATGACTTTGTGAAATTTGCTTTATTATGTCTGCAAAACCCTCATTTAAGTCTTCGCATTTCTGTTTAAACAAAAGTTTGGGTGTGGGGGTACAGTTGTTGCTGGGTTTTCATAAACCCTCATTTTTGCTAGGAAAGTGAAGGATTGGTTACCTGTGTAGGGGTTGGGTTTGATCTGTCTAGTTTGGAGGAAGTTTGGACAGGCAGACAGGCAGGTCAGGTGTCTAGACCTGGGGCTTACTCTCCTGTGACACCTCCCAGCTTCATGCAGTCATTTTGAGGTTTAGAAAGCAAATCAGATTTTTTTTTTTTTTTTTTTGATGGCTGGCTGGTACAGGGATCGAACCCTGGATCTTGGTGTTATCAGCACCACATTGAGAAACCAGCCAGCCCAAGCCAGATCGTGTTTGGAAGCAGGAGTAGAGGTGGAGAAAGGGCCAAACTTACTTCCAGGCTGTAGAAGCTCAGCACACCTTCCATTCAGTTCCACCTGTGTCTGGTGCCCTGTTTCTCTGAAGCGGATGTACCATCAACATGGCCAGATAAACAGCTGTTTTAAGGATTTAATGGGATTGTATATGTAAAAAAAAAATTCTTTGAAAAGCACAAAATGTTCTACCGGTGTCAAGTAACAAGTATCCAGTAATTTATGGAGTGGGGAACCCTGAAAACTTGGAAGAAATAAGGGGCTTCTGAACTTTTAGAAGGAAAAAGCCTTGGTGAAAAAGTATGTGATTATGGCTAGAAATTTTAAAAAGTCTTTCACATGTAACTGTTTTCTCAAAGTGTAGTCTAAACAGATTTTTGTTATTTTGGTTTGATTCCTCTAAATTATATAATGTTTTCTACTTGGCCTTTCTTGTTTGGATGTAAGGAATGAATGAAATGGGAGAAAGGTGAACTTTTGCTTTAAAATATAATTGCTACAATCATGACAGATAGAGGATGTTAGCATTTTCTTTATAATGTGGTCTGCTTCGAGCATGGCCTGTTCTTGTAAAGAATTAAGGTCAGTGAGGTAGATATTAAAACCTGTATATGCATGGGTTTATTTTCCGTGATGTCAGTGCTGAAAAATTTCATTTATCAGAGGAGGCTGACCTGTGTAACTTTCCTTTTTAGACTTTGACATAATCGCTAAGGCTGTGTGTGAGTGTGCGCGTGTGCAAGGCTCTGCATTTTCTCTTTGAAATGATTAGATTACGTGTGCATCCTTAGGGCCCATTTACCTACGTGGTGTGGTTTGTTTCACTGTCAGAGATCTTAGAGTTTGGCACTTTTTGCAAAGAAGATTCCTCCAGTTCCGCTTTCCTTTGTCCAGCTGTGCGTCTTGCCGATGGTTACTGCCATGAGTTCTAAAATTAACGGGATCATGTTTCTGAGAGCGTAAGTGGGGGGGGGTAGGTCAGTGGCCCTGCGCAATGCAGTGAGAGGCTCCCGCTTGCTGGCGGCAGGGTAGTCACGCCCATGTTCTTTCCTTTTCACTGGGTGCTCCGGGGAGCAGTTCTGGCCTCTGCTGCCGAAACATTGTCATTTGTTCCCATGTGTTTAACTAGCCGGATTGTAACCTTTTCTCCCCTTCTCTCCTTCTCTCTGTCCCCCTCTTCTGCCAGGCGGGTGCCCCGGTGATGTCTGGCTCGGGAGAGAGCACTAACCCCCAGAACAGCGAGCTCAAGTATTCAGGTCAAGATGGGCTCTACATAGGCGTCAGTCTGGCCTCACCGGCTGAAGTCACATCCTCGGTGCGACAGGATTCCTGGTGTGCTCTGGCCCTGGCGTGAGCTGGCACTGCCAGGAGGTGGGAGGACTCCACGTGGGCCTGGCACTACTTGTGTCTGATTTTGTCCAGTGGTCCAGACAGTGGCGACTCTGTTGACAAGAACATTCCTCCGATGCGTGATTTCTGTGCCTTTATTTTGAAAGAGATATATTTCCTAAGAGGCTTGCTGAAGAGTAAGAGAAGATGGAGCTCTTCCAGGGAAGGGCCAGAGCAGCCCAGCACGTCACCTCCTCCCTCTGGCCAGGGCCACTGCCAGCCTGCCTGGCGCTGGGTCGGCCCCTGCGCCACTTGCTGCGATCAGGACTAGGACGGGGGCCTTGCCTGCTAAGGAATATTGAGAGAGATTTTTTTAAAAAGATTTTATGTGTATTGCCCCAAATCGTGTACTTCTTCTGATCAATGTTGGTTATTCCAGGATTTCTTCATATCCTTTCCACATCTGAATTTCACATGCGTTCATGGAGAAGATCATTTGAGGCTCTTTGGTACACATCTCTGGAGGCTGAGTCTGTTCATGAGGTCTCTTGTGAAAATATTATTTGGTTTGCAAGACTGCATTATAACTTTAATGTACACTGTGACTGACGTTTCTCAAAGTTCATATTGTGTGACTGATCTGAAGTCAGTCAGAATTTGTAAACAGGGTAGCAAATAAGATATTTTTCTTCCATGTATACAATAATTTTTTTAAAAAGTGCAATTTGCGTTGCAGCAATCAGTGTTAAATCATTTGCATAAGATTTAACAGCATTTTTTATAATGAATGTAAACATTTTAACTTAATGGTACTTAAATAATTTAAAAGAAAAATGTTAACTTAGACATTCTTATGCTTCTTTTACAACTACATCCCATTTCTATATTCCCAGTTGTTAAAAATATTTCAAGAACAAATCTTCTCTCAGGAAAATCGCCTTTCTCCATTTGTTAAGAATTTTTATACAAGAACACCAATATACAACCTTTATTTTACTGTGGAATATGTGCTGGAAAAATTGCAACAAAACCTTACTACCTAATGGATAGCATTTGTAAATACTCTAGGCATCTGTAAACACTCTGATGAAGTCTGTACAGTGTGACTAACCCACAGGCAGGTTGGTTTACATTAAATTTTTTTTTTAAATGGGATGTCATATGGAGACCTATTTCACCAGAGTTTTAAAAATAAAGAAAGGGTATTGTTTTGTCTTCTGTACAGTGAGTTCCTTCCCTTTTAGCTTCATTTTGATGCTTTATGTGGCTGTAGATACTCATATAAAACAAGTACATGTGATGCTTGCAAGTTGCCTTGAGGCCTTACTTTCAAAGAATTGTCCTTTTTTACACCTTGGTTTATTTGAAGTTGGTATGTGGAGTTAGTTATCACTTTCCATTTGCATCGGTGACAATTTTTGTAAGTGAAAAGGACCCGGTATTAAATGACATCTGAGATTATAAACATTCTGTTTAGGATCAATGTTTAAAAACATTTTAGAAAGTCCTAAATTTTTTTCTTATAAATGAAATATCTCTATGGCCCAGAATAGAACAGTTTCCTTTCTAGTTCCTCCTTTTTGCAAAGTGCCTTGAAGTCTCAAATCTCACCCATCTCAGATTGCAGACCTGAACTCACCAGGATATATATAGAGATGATTTGAACAGCCTGTTTGTGTTTTCTTTGCTGTTGGGTGGATTTCAGGAAATCAGGAAGCTGTTCCACAAAATAAAATGGTGGCATTTAACTTTGGCACCCTGGGCGTGCGGCATTTTTGACTTCCTTTCAGGCACTTATTACAGCCGTTCTATGGGGTCCAGTCTGAATCTTTCAAGAGAAGGAAGCCTTCCCTGTGGTGGTGCGTGCCTCTCTATGTTAGGATATCATGGGCAGTGTTGGTAGCCAGACTTGGGGCTGGCATGTGTGTGTGAAGCCCACACGCACCCTGGTATCACAGTGGGCTAGAACAGTGCTTGAGAGTTGGGAATGGAGTCAGACCACTTGGCTTCAATTTCCAACTTGCTCACAGATGAGCTCTGTGATCTTGGGCAAGTTATTCAACTCTCATTTTCTCCATCCATAAAATAAGGCAAACAGCATATAACTCATGGAATTACATGAGATAACCCATGTAATGTGGCTAGCACAGGTGTAATGTAGTTAGCACAGTGCCTGGCACATAGTAAGCATTAGTGTCTTACTCCCTGTGGAGCATCAAGTTCATGGTTTGTAAGAGTCTGATGTCCCTTGGGTCACCTGTGCTTCTTGAATAAGGCCTAGGAGAGTGAAATGAGGGACACCCCCTATCCCAGGGGAAGGCAGAGATGGAGGGAGGATGTGTGAGGGATAATAGTCGGACTGGCTGATTGTTTTATAGAATGGGGCTGCTCTGACAGCAGAAGAGATTATTATCCCCACAAACTGATTTTTTTTCCTCCCTGCTCTTAACTGTTCTTGTTACTTTGAGTGCTTTCTGGTGGGTTGGGAGTTGTTACAGTTAATGTGCTTCTATTGGAAAATGAATTTTTCTCACTGGGGCTTCCAAATGATCTTTTTTCTAGGGACGGTCTCACACATCGCTCCTTCCATTCCCAAGACGTCATTACGTTGCTAAAGCCCCCTTTTTTGACGACAGAAAGTAGAAAGAATGCTAGCTTTCATGAACTAAATGACAAGGGCCTGTCCTAACACAATGAACTCCGCTATTTGGGCTTTTTAAAGGATTACTTTCTTACCTATGATTGCATAAAGTAGAAGCTTGATAATTTGTTCCAAATACACAATCTCAGCACCTCCGCCCCCCGAACTATGACATACGAAAACAAACCACCGATCATGTCTCAGTAGAGAAGGCATTTAAATAGATAGTGCTGCTCAGCTTAAAGAATCCTCAGACCCAACACCCTGGGTTGCAGAATTTATGCCTTCTGTCACCCGTGGCTGATTTTAGGCCATCTTATATAAGCGAAGGTTCTGTATGGGGTCTCTCTTCAGGGTCACTTAATGTTGTTTCCTAGTGCCTAGGGAGGGTCAGGAAAGCGAAGGGAGCCATTCATTTCCCCATGTAGATAAATTAACTTCTTGCTCATGGGAAATGTTTTCCCTAGTCCTCGGAAATTTGATGTAATTTCAGATCATAGATAAATTAGCTGCTGGGAGGGTGATACAGCAAATCTGTGGCTTTGCCAGATTCCAGACTGCTTTCAATTTAAGGCAGTGTGGTGGCCTTGCTGTGTTAAGTTCTTACTATGTGTCGGCATTGTCCACAGGGTCTGTGGATCTGTGTGACTCTGAGGAGGAAATAATAGGGAGGTGTATGAGGGAAGGGGAAACAGACAGCAGACATTTACTCAGAATCAAGCAGCTCTGGCTAATTAAAATGCTTTTTTTTTTTTTTTTTTTTGGTGGCTGGCCAGTATGGGGATCCAAGCCTTTGACCTTGGTGTTATAACACTATGCTCTGACCGACTGAGCTAACCTGTCAGCCTAAATGCATTTTGTTTCTGGGTCGAAATAATAGCAAGTCAGTTTGGTGATACTAGTTACCTCCTGGTGCTTGGAAGCTCTAATTGGCAGTCAGGTATGAGTTTGATTATTTTAAATGAGAAACAAATATTACTTAATTTGATAGACCAAATCTTTTGAAACAGGGTCTGTGGGTAAAAACTGGGTACCTGTGGCTCTGTCCACCAGAGGCCTCAGATGATTCTCTGTGGTTCAAGCTTCAGCAACTGGGTTCTGAGCTGGCTGCTTTGCTCATGATCTCCAGATGGGGGTATCAGGCACAAAAAGGTGACAGATGTTTGTAGGACGAGCAGAAAGGAAACAGGGTATTTTCAGTTGATTCAGCCGCAAGATATAAGTAGGCCGAAAGTCTGAGTAAGTTCTTAGAGATTTTGGATAAATAAGTTATGACTGATAGTTCCAAGTAGCATCTAAAGCGAAGTTAGGGAGTTGCAGGCGCATGTCGAACCTCTGAAACATGTGTCACAGCATCTGCACCCTCCAAGCATCCTCTGGCGTCTCCCAAATTTGCACTAGGGAACTAGCATGAAAACTGGTCCTTCGCTATTCTCAGTACGTGGCTGTCACAGGGAAGTGACTGTTAGACAGTTGATGTCACTGTTTTTGTTAAAGAGATACTTATTTTGCATGGTGGATTTTTTTTAAAAAAAGAATCAACATTTTAAAAATGGCTAAAACATGTTGATGAAAAAATGTTTGATTCATAGAAGTGCTTATATTTCAGTTGTCAGTGGTCCCTCTGTTAAGATAATCATCTCAATATTCTACAGCTTTTGGACAAGTTATTTCTGCTCTCTGGATATCAGTGTCCACAGCAGCCATAAAATGAAGAAGTCAGGCAGTGTGGTCTGAAAGGTTCCTTTCATCTGCATTTGCCCACCACAGTCCCAGGGCAAATTCTATGCAAGGTCTGCTTTCCCAAGTTTGAGAGGCCTCCTAGAGCCCTTCCACTACTGGGGACACTGGTGGCATTGGAATCTGCTCCTGTCCCCTCTTCCTGCTGCCTCAACAGCTCAGGAGTTGATCTATGGAGGTCAAGTCCTCCTATAGGAAGACTCAGGACTGACAGTCCTGGTCATATTCACCAACACAGGGACTTGGTAAGAGCTGCCCCCAACCCCTAACGCTGAACCTGGTTGGTCTGGGGCCCCTGATATAAAACTTATACAGTTGTACGGACCCAGACCGGAAAATGGAAAAGTCTGGCAGCCGAACAGTCCGCAGAACAAGGAAAAAACAGCTTTGCTTTGCTTGGCCCGTGGCTTCAATATCTTGTAGTTGGTTTTTTATTTCTTGGAAACAACCAAATTTTCATTGTTGTTTACCTTCTGTGTCTTCTCTTTAGCTATTACACATTTTTCCTCTCTGTCTCTCCACCCCCTTCCATGGGTTTTACTCTTATTTTGTGATCCTATTCCTTTAACACTCCAAGATTGGTCTGAGATAATAATAGCAAACATTTATATAGCGCTTACTATGTGCCAGTTTCTATACAAAATGCTTCACATATATGAAAGGTCTTTAAAAAGTGTATGGGAAGATTCGTATTATCTTTTTTTAATTCTGTTTTTCCATGAACTTGTTGAAGGATCCTTGTACCAATTAATTTATCTAATCCTCACGCCAAGTGAATGAGGTGGCATTATTTCCATTTTACAGATGTGTCTACCAAGGTACAGAAAAGTAACTTGCCCAAGAGGCAGAGCTGGGATTTGAGCCCTGCCAGTCTGGCTCCAGAGCACATGCCTTTTAATCATCACCACCTATTGTCTTTTCATCTTGATTTAAAAGTGAAAAAACGGAAGAACACAGAGGGGAAGCTAGCACTGTCTATGCCCTTTCTTTGTCCCCTAGCATTTCAGAAATACACAATTGTTATTTGCAACACAGGTATACCTAGATCAAAGAAACGTAGGAAGTGTGTATGTGTCTCCCAGTTATGCAAGGCAGCGCCCGGTTGTTAGCCGGGAAGTTGTGAGTCTGGAGGTATCGTGCTGTCTTTGGAGCAATTCCCGCCTCCTTTTCATGCAACTTCAAGTAAGGCTTGTTATGTTCTTACCTAGCTCAAAAGATTAGGGTAAAGCATTTTTTAAAGTATAAAAAGCTGGTCAAATTATTAATAGTGGTTAAAACTGAACACCAGAGAAAATAAGGAATACCTTATTGTGGTGTAAAATCTTTCTGTGCTTTAGTTATGCCAAGGAATTTTTTTCAGGAAAACTTGCGCAAGATTTTGGCAGTGGTGTTTTGGGTTTTATCTTTTTCAATAAGTGTTCATTACTGCTTACGCTATTATTATTTTGATAAGTGTGCATTACCAGTGTTGCTGTCAGGAGTTCTCCAGCTCCCACGTGCACGAGAATCACGCGCAGTGCTTGAGAAATTGTAGCATCCCTTAGCCCTTCTCCAGAGAACCTGATTCTGCAGGTCCTGTGTAAGGATGAGGAAGCTGCATTTTTTGGGGGGTGGGGGTGTGTGTCTTTGCATTAATTAAAATTTCTTGACTAAGTCAAAATTGAAAAGTTACAGTGAAAAATAATTGTCCTTTTTACCCCTCTTGCCCAGCCACTCAGTTCCTCTCCCAGATATAATTTCTTACTTCTTGCATAGATTATATGCATTGACCAGTGATGCACACGTGAGCATATGAAAGTATCTATATTCCATTTTTTTAACACATGGGGTAGCATACTATATACATTGTTTTACATTTTGCTTTTTTCACTTAGTATATCTGGATTGTTCATTATTTAATCAGTGCCCTATTGAAGGACATTTG